TACTTGAAAATAATTCTAGATGGAAGGTTCAAATGATATTTAAAGAATATATTAATTAGTATAAATTAGGATTTCAATGAAGTCGGATAACTAGATGATAGAACCTTGAACATGTATAAATACGTTGTAAATTTCTCTTTCATGTAATAATAAGTTTGTTAGTTATTTCTTAACTATTATCTTGTAATAACAATAATATAATAATAAAAAACAAACATAATTATCTCTTAAAATAATCTATTGCCAGTGGAATTATCCACCCGCTTCCAAAACCACATAAATCTTTAACTCTAAATTAATTATTAATTAATAACTATCTTACCAAGGGGATGCCTTTGATAAGTACAGTTGACGCTTGATATAGGGAAGAGTTTGTTTTGGCAAAAAACTTCACTATATAGTGTGATTCATTATATAAAAAGATCAGCAAATTTTTATTTTTTTGATATTATATACAAATACATATATTAATATTGATACACAAAAAAAAAAATAATAAAATTCATTAATTTTTAGTAGTAAACCAACGATCCAATTTGCTTTGTTTTTTAGAAGCAAGAGAATATTTGGATATATGACTTTTAACTGATTTTATTGATTTAATGTGTTTTAATTCAAAAGTAAGGTTTTCAGGTGGATTTTGAATATAAGAAAGGATGGTGTCTAAAGATTTTAATGCATCTTCTGTAGTAATTTTTTGTTCAACAGCTACTAATTCATCTTCTGGTTCAGATTCAGCAGTTGGTTTTACATGACTAATAATTTCTTCATCGGTATTTTCAACACCAAACTCTTGAATTTCTTCTTCAATTCTAATAAAATTCTCTGCACTCAATTTATCAGAGGCTTCAACACTCCCTAATCAATTAATTAGATTTTGAAGCTCATCATATTCTTGAATGGTTTCTATTTCCATGGCATCATCTAAATTAGGTATTATTCCTGTCTTCAGCCAACAGTTTCTAATAGTCTCAGGTGTCACATTTTTCCAAGCTTTAGCACAGAGTGTAATTGCATCAGAAATTTTAAGTTGTTCAATGGGAGTATTAAGGCTTTGATGTAAGTCATAAGCATCAATCCTGTTCATAACAAGCAATTTTCTATAATGGACCTGAAGAAATGATAAAGTGAATATTTGAACTAATAAAAAAAATTTTTTTTTAAATTATATTTACTTTAAAAGAATTTATAATTCCCACATCAGCAGGTTGTAGATGAGTAGTTGTATTAGGAGGGAGATGATGAAGTGTAATATTCGTTAAAAGAGTACTTTCATCAAGAATGTGGACTGGTGCATTATCAAACAATAGTAAGATGTTTTTGTTTTCTTTAACCATTTTCTGATTCAATTTTTTAAATATTGATTCCAGATGGAGACTTGCATCCAGGCTTTTGCATTCCAATAGTAATCAACTGGAAGCTTTGACTTGTCAACACCAAGCATGTCTCTTGGTGTTTGATACTTATGGATAAATAAAGGTGGAAGTTTAACGGTCCCTGTTGCATTCATAGTCAATAAAATGGTTATTCTTTTTTTTGATTTTTTAGTACCAGGAAGAGGTCCAGTTGATAACGTTTTTGATGGTTCCAAATCCCAGAACAAGCCTAATAAATAAAGTATTTAGTAAATTTAATAAATACTATAATTATATTAGAATACTTTTTACCAGTTTCATCACAATTATAGACATCTTCTAGGGGAAATTCACTTAATATTTCTTGCAATTTTCTTCTTTCTTCAAAAATGATTTCTTCAGAAGGCGCAGAACTTGCTTCACCATGTAAATTATATTGTTTTATACCATTTCTTTTTTTAAAATTTGAGACCCAACCATCTGAGCCTTTAAAATCATTGATATCAAGTAATTCTGCAAATCTCTTAGCTTTGGCAAGAATTACATCACCTGTAATTACCCTTTTATTTGAAAGTGCTTGATTGAACCATATCATCAATGAACTTTCAAGCTCAGGATATTTTGGAGCTTTATATTTTTGCTTGTTAGCATCATCAGGATTAGTGGATAGCCATTTATTTTTATCCTTCAAAATGTTACAAACTGTATTTTCTGCAACTTCAAATTTCCGACCAAGTTCCTTATATGTGAATGATGGATTTCTTTCACGAAATTCACAAAGTTGTTTTTTCTCACCCCAAGTCAAAATTTTTCTTTTTTTGTTTGATTGATCAATTGATGACATTTTTTATTTTTTTATTAATTTTTTGAGGAAACAATTTTTATAAAAAATAAAGGACATTTCTAATCCTTTATTTATAAGAAATTCAGCAAATAATTGAATTAGCAAAATCAAATAAACCATTTGATCGAAAGAACTGTTTTTATTAATTAATCATCTGATGTTTTTTTACAAATAAAAAAATACATTTCTTTTACTAAATTACATTACAATTGGTTTTTCAACTTAATTATTTGAATCATCAGTTTTTTTCAATATAATTTATCATAATTAATTTATTGCTTATCATTCGATGTTTTCTTTATAACTTACCATTTTATTCAAATCATCAGTTTTTGTCAATATAATTTATCATAATTAATTTTTATAACTTACCATTTTATTCAATATACAATTAATTATTTATTTATTTTTTTAATCGAATGATTATATTTATTATTTCAATAGAATTTTTAATCGAATGATTTTTTAATTTAATTGACAGAAAATTAATATTATTATGATAAATCAAGTGATGATCAACATATTTTTTAAAAAACTTCATTATATCAAGCTCTATTTAAATATAATGGTACCAAGTAAAACTTCACTATATAGTTATATCAAGAGTTTATATTAAAAATCACTATATCGAGCTGAATTTATATATAATGAAATGGGAAATTTTCCATCTT